GCGGACTGAAGGGTCCCAGGTTCGATTCCTGGTCAAGGGCATGTACCTTGGTTGCGGGCACATCCCCAGTAGGGAGTGTGCAGGAAGCAGCTGAATCAATGTTTCTCTCTCATCGATGTTTCTAACTCTCTATCCCTCTCCTTCTCCCTTCCTCTCTGTAAAAAATCAATAAAAATATATTTTAAAAAAAACAACAAAAAACCAAAGGCAAACTGATCATTCTAACCCCAACCCTGCTTTTTTCAGCCCTGGGAAGGAGAAGGATTTGCGGAAGGAGGAAGAATAGAGAGTGGCTTGGGAAGCCTAACTGAGCACCCACGCTTTGTGCTAGAAATTGTAGCAGATAGAAGTCGCTTCTCCCAAAGTTGCCCATGGTACCACCAGAGAGACACAGTGAACACATATTAAAGGGCAAGGGTTGTACACAACAAATACCAGACTACATAGTCAGACCACATGTTGTAGGAATTCAGAAAAGTGTCTGGGCAGGAGCAGCTTGGAGGGCTTCCTGGAAGAGGCAGGTCTGAGTACACCCTTCACAGATTTCAGCAGGCAAAAGGAACTTCCCACGAGAAGCCAGGCAATGAAAACAAATTTGAGCCCTGGCCCGTTGCTCAGTGGTTAGAGCAGCAGACCTCGGACCAAAGGATCTCAGGTTCGATTCCCAGCCAGGTCAAGGACACATATCTTGGTTGCAGGTTCCCCAGCCCCCATCAGGGTGTGGGCAAGAGGCAACCAATGGATGTGTCTCTCTCGCATTGATGTTTCTCTCTCTCCCCCTCCCGCCCTTCAACTCTCTCTAGAAACTAATGAAGAAATTATCCTCGGGTGAGGATTAAAAAAAAAAATTCTACGAGGCAAAATAATGGTGCCCCCACAGATGTGTAAGTCCTAATTGCCACGACCTGTGAACGTTGCCTCACATGGTAAAAGGGTTTTGCAGGTGTGATTGAGTTAAGAATCTTGAGATAAGGAGAGGACCCTGCACCATCCAGGGGCTCAGTGCACTCAAGGGTCCTCATGAGCAAAAGAGGGAGGCCGCTGAGTCAGAGTGGGGACAGTGAGAAGGAAGCAGAGGTGGGACTGTGGCAAGGCCAGGAGCCAAACAATGCAGGTGACCTCGAAAGGGTGGAAAGGTAAAGCAATGGGCTCTCCCCTGGACCCCCCATGAGGAATGCAGCCCTGCCCACACCTGATGTCAGCCAGTGAGACCTTGGGTGGGACCGTTAGAACTGTAAGAGAGTAAATGTATGCTGCTTTAAGTCACTAAGTTTGTAGTAATTTGTTACATCAAGGAACAAGTACAGGAGCCCTGGATGGTATTTTTAGAGGAAACGGGGCAAGTGGGAGGAATGGAGAACTACGCAGGGGCAAGGCCAGGAGCCAAACAATGCAGGTGACCTCAAAAAGGTGGAAAGGTAAAGCAATGGGCTCTCCCCTGGACCCCCCATGAGGAATGCGGCCCTGCCCACACCTGATGTCAGCCAGTGAGACCTTGGGTGGGACCGTTAGAACTGTAAGAGAGTAAATGTATGTTGCTTTAAGTCACTAAGTTTGTAGTAATTTGTTACATCAGGGAACTAGTGCAGGAGCCCTGGATGGTATTTTTAGAGAAAACGGGGCAAGTGGGAGGAATGGAGAACTACACAGAAACTTCGTTTGAGGTTGGGAAGAACTGGGTGGTTTCCTGATCCGTGGCCTGAGTTGGCAGCACCTTGCTGTGTGTGGGCAGCGTGTTCCCATCCACCTCCTCACTGCCTGGGTCCCACACCCAGGGGCCCGGCGGCAATGCCACCGATGCCAGGACCCCGTCCCCTCCCTGGGTGGGCAACTTGCTGCGTGCAACAGAGTTAGCTGTCTGGGTGCTCATAAGAGGGGGTCCCCAGGACAGGCACCTGTGCTCCAGGAGAGGAGAAGGAGCCACTCCTCCTGCCCACATCTGGCTCCAGGCCAGGGCAGATTTAAGGGATGAAGTCATCTGGCTCCCTCTCTCCCATGCACCCCACGTTGAACAATCCGCCACCCCCTCAGTGGGCCTGAAGGCTCGGCCTCGGGACACGTCATCAGGCCGCAGGGGCCCCAGCTGCCCCAGCCCTCTCACACCTCTCAGCCCCATGGTCCTATCTCAGGCCAGTCCCCTCCCCCACTCCCACATGGCTGCTCCTTATCCAGCTGCACATTTCCGGCAGAGATCCTCCCCATAAATCAGTTATTTTTAAACCTCATTCAGAGCAACCCACCCCACCCCACTTCCCCCGGCCTGAACGCTGGGCCAGATGAATGTCAGTCTGGGCCTTGACCCCACACAACCAGCCACACTCACGCACTCGGCTGGGGGAGGGCAGGCGAGTGGCCGAGGCCTGTAGAGGAGGAGACTAGCTTTCCCCCAGGCCAGACCCAACTGCTCAGCCACCACTCAGTCGAGACCTGTGACCCCTGTCACACAGGGGCAAGGCTGGACGCTTGGGAGGAAGGGAGGGGGCTGGAGGCTATTGTCCTTGCCCAGCAATCCGCCCTTTCCCAGCCCAATGTCCAGACCTCTATTCTGGGGGCAGCTTCACTATTACCACTTGGGTCGTTCAAGGCCGTGTCTCCATGGGCCCACGTGGCCTCGAGCCCAGGGGTCACAGTGGCCCAGAGAGAAAAAGCGCAGAATGATCAACCCACACCCCAGAGTTAGGAGAAGAGGGCAGGCCCGGAGCCTGACCCTTCCAGTGGCCCCCACGGGCAGACAGACACAGCCTTGCAGACCCACTTCTGGACACGGGGTGGACTGAGGGCCCCTCCCCCACCCCGGCGCCTGGACACAGCTGGCAGGGTCACAGCCTCCAGCTGCCGTGTCCAGGCTCCACTCCGGGCCACTGCCCTAGAGCCCTGAGGTGCCAGTCACAGGGCAGAGCTCCAGGAAGGGGCAGACCCAGCCGGGCCAGCCTGTGGCAGCTGGTTCTCCTCCCCGCCCCACACCAGCAGGCGAGGGCTGATGGGCTGTGGCTGCTGGGGCAGGAGTGGCCCACCCTAGTGACACCCACAGGACCTACTGCTGCCCTCCCTCAAAGGAAGGGAAGGCAGCCAGTTGCCTGCTGGGCCGGGGAGAAGCTGTGGGGGAGATGCCCAAGCGCCCAAGCACAGGACCCAATGGAAAGACAACAGCTGAACGACTTGGGGGGCGGGGGGGCTGTGAGAAACCAAAACTGGAGATCTGCCTACATCTGTGGGAACAGCCCTGCACCCCCACAGAGAAGGGCACGCTGGTTGGGAAAGGAGCAGAGGCCACAGGCCCTCAGCCCTGCCCAGACCCTGGGCTGGAAGCTTACCTCACCTCCCAGGCCAATGCCAAGGAAAAGGCGGATGCGGCGTGGGGGTGGGGAGACGCAGGGTTCCTGGAGGTTTCACTGGAGACAAAGGGACTCTCCATTCATTGTGCAGATAACCCCAGGGAACTTCCCAGCTCAGAACTGGGACAAAGAGGATTCTAAAGGGCAAAGTGGGAGTCCCAGTCCCCAAAGCCAAGTGCCACAGGGAACAGGCAGAAGCAAGGACGGTGGGGAACCCAGGGCTGGGGTAAGCCCCTCACCAAGAGCCGGGGGGAGCAGAAGCGAAAACAAGCCACACAAACAGGAAGCCGCAAGGCCTGCGGGAGGAGGGGCGAGGTGGGGATGTTGCCATAGCTTCTGTGTACCAAACAGGCACGGGTCAGGGTGGGGGCACTCCGCACGGGGGAGTGGTGACAGGCTCCGAGCGGGCAGAGGTGGGTCCTTGGGAAGGGGCCGCCTCCCGGCAGTTCTGGGGAGCAGCAGGTGCAAGACGCGCCTGCAGGAGGCCGCGTGGAGGTGCAGAGCGCACCTGGAGGACAAGGAAGTTCTGCGTTTGGGGCAGAGAAGTAACTCAAGAAAATGGTTCCGGAGAAGCCGACGTGCCACCTGGGAACAGAGCTGGACTCTGAGCTAAAGCCCCACACCTGACACTCCTGTGGGCAGGAGGGAGGGGGAGAAGGGATCAGGGGCCAATCCCCGGGGGCAGGCAGGCAGTGGGAATGAAGAGGGGTTGCAGTCGGACTACTTTCTCGGTTCTGGGGCGCTAGGGCCCTGCCGGCCCCGCCCCACCGTGGGCTCCCCTGCAGTTTTGGGTCATCCGCGAGGACCAGGGGGAGAGATGGGAGGGGGCTGAGCCAAGGCGGGGGCCCTCCGTCTGGTGCCCCGGGGTCAGAGAGAGAACTGGGGAGCCCCCCAAGTCCCCTCCTGCACGGCCTCCGCCGCGGCTACCCCTCACCTCCCCCCGCTGCCTCCCTGGAAGCCCCCCCCACACCAA